TGTGTGTCATTCTAAAAATATAGGTTTTTAAACAGATCTGGTACTTTACCAGGTGTGCCTTTAAGTAACTTCTATTGCATTTATACTTTAGGAGGATTAGGAAAGAGAGTAAAAGAACTCTTTGTCCGTTAGATTCATTAAATGTATTCATGCGTGTGTAAGTGGTATAGAGGCTGTGCTACTCAGGAATCAGATCCCTGTCCTAGGGTGTAGAGAAAGGTGAAGGGTGTGATATTTACTGCTTGTGTAAGTGTCATAATAATTGTGTATTTGATTCTTTATTTTTAAATGACCTTCCTGGGCATTAAGCCATTTTTTTTGTATTTATCTTTTCCCTGCAGAGTTAGGGAGGGTAAGGAACCACACCTTTGAAATTGTGAAAGTACAGCTGTTCAGGATATGAATGTGTAATAGAACAGATAGGTCAGCAAAGGTGAAGACAGAAATAATACAAAAATTATTCTAGAAGGAAAAAGACTTTGCTATAAAAATGTATTAAAATGTTGTTTAAACTAGTATTAATTTTTGTTATTGGGTTATTTAAAAACCCAAGAAATTTATTCAGAATAAAGCGTAAGTAGCTACTACATTCTTACAGGAGAAATGTAAGAGTTAACATTACTATCTTTTGGTTTTGTGCAGACTTAAATCATTCAAACTTCAAAGAGCCACAGAAGTACTTCAAACCAACTACCTAGCGCTTAGTTGAAATAATTACCACAGAATTCATTTAAACAAATACCTATTAAAATAATAAATTTCCTGTGCACCAAACCAACATTGGTTATATAACACAGCTCTTTAAAAGATGAAGTCTTAGCTCCAGTGCACCAAAGCATAAGGTCCTGTAAAATTGTACCCACAGTTGGAAGAAAAGTATTGTTTTACCAACTTAAACCTATTTCAGTGAAACCGAAACATTTCGCAGCTCAACGGCAAGATCTAACACCAATAGAAATAAATAAGGTCCTGTTACCACCCTCTGGTCACGTTGCTAGAAGGAGTCTTCCCTGAAGAGAGGGGAGTGTTAAACTTTGCATAGAAAGTCATTTGCCTGAAGATGAAAACTCCCAGGGCACTATCTGCTTTGGCTTTGGGACAGCCCTGAATGCGCATGCACGATATTCTACAGAATTCTGTGAGCTTGAGTATTAGTAATTTTGCTGTCACTTGAGTTATACTCTCTTAGCATCTGAACATTGTGTCCTTCCTCTGCCACCCTCCTCACTATATAAACTTCAAACAACTTAGAGTCTCTTTTTAAGGGGTTTTAGTTTACATTTCATTATAATATAAAGTACTTACCTTAGCAAAACCAGAAAAATATTTTTAAAATGCGTTCACCTCAGCTGGTATCACCATGTGACGTGTGAGTGGACTTTTAGAGTGCATGCATATGACTGGTAGAAAGTCAGTTATTGTAGAACTTGAAAATATAGAGAAACACTATGCTTTTAGCATTTGTTTAGGCCTTTTAACAAATGCCGAATGCTTAACTTGGTGAATTTTGCAACCTTAATCAAGAGAGTGTTGATTTCACCACATGGGTACCTATGTAATCTCATTGAGTTCAACAGGATCAAATCAGATTCAGTATATAAACACACGCTTAAATGATTTCCTGCATAATTGCTAACAACATAGAAGTCTTTAAATAATAAAGGTATAGGGGTTTGGGACAATGTAACTTCTATAAGGTGCAGGGCTGTTTTGGAAAGAGCAGCATGCAACGACATCAGAGCAAAGGATTGTCAGCACTGAAGTGGACTCCAGAATTTATCCTAATGGTAATGAAACAAAGAACACAGATTTAAATATGAAGGTATTTTATACTTTGCATTATGAAATAATCCACGTAAATTTAAGTGAATAAAATTCATTATTTTGGTGGACACACCTTTGCAGGCTACAGCTCTTCCAGGGTCCTTTGATCTCTATTACATATCATTCTTTATTTTTTAACTCTGTTTTAAAACACTGTAAGTTACAAAGCATCTTAGGTCTTATATTTCATATATTTACAAGAGAAACCATTTCTTTTGGTAGGAGGCGTGTTCACTAATAAGGGTTCTATTCTTCATAGTAAACAACATATTTACAAACCACAAATAACAAAGTAGAAGCTGCAGAAGGGTTATGGTGTGATAATTAAGTACAATGGCGACCCATATGAACAGAAAATGCCAAGGAGCTAAAACAAAGCAACAACAGCTTTGTTTGTTGACAGATGTAGGAGCCATATTGTTAGTTAATTGGGTAATGGTGTAAACATTTGCAAACTCTGCTGTCCCTCAGTGAATTAAGCAGCACACTGAAATTATGGTGAAAAGCTGCACCGTCCTTTTGCTGCAGGTACTCCACAATGCTTTTAGCTAACCTTCTAAGTATGAAGACATTGGGGGACATCACGCGTTGTTATTATTTAAGGTACTTGAAGTTTGCAAACCTTAGACTAGGATATGTATCTTGAATTACACTCAAGTGAATAATAGGTTTCCATGTGGTTACAGTCTGGGAAATTGTGTTCATTGCCTAGGCTTGCTTTCCAGATTTTTGTTTTTTCCAAGTGTAGAAGAGACTTGTTCTGTCTTTCCTAGCTTTTCTTGCAAAAAAAAGGTTGCAGGATTTGAAAATAGAGAGGCCTAATTAGCAACTGGCTTGAACTGAAAAGAAGGAAAATTGCTTCCCTCAGGTGCACAATACTTCATATGCTGTGAATTGCAGAGACCCCTATTTACCTCGCTTTCTGTGCCTATGCACAATAATGGACTGTAGCAGAATACCAAAACATTAAAAAATGCAACAAGATACTTAATTAGCTTACTTCTGTAATCACAAACTTAAATGCACTACTTTGGCTGTTTTTTACATAACAGGTTTGCTTTCTAAGATAATAACCTTTCAATAATTTAAGCAGCATCTGTGCAGGAATGCATAATTGGACTGTAGATAATAGGAATCTAAAATTGAGTCTGGTTTTTATAAATTATTTTTCTCTTCAGACATTTAGCAATAGCTCACCATGGTACATGAAGTTTAAGAAAATATGTTCCTGTTTTGGGAATCAAAATAATGCATCTGTTTGGTTTTGGGTTTTTTTTATTATTATTCTGTTGGGTTTTTTTAAATTCTGTTGCAGTCAGGTGAAATTACATTGATTTCAATGGACTTAGGAAGTGATAAGCTTTTAATATTTGTTTAAATAATGAATTTTCTGTAATTATCCAATAAAACAATAGAAATACAAATATATTCTAGGTTTGTCTGATTTAGTTGCGGGGGGGAGAGAAGAGGAGCAATACTGTTTTTGTTAATTGGTAACAGGATTAGTAAATAACGCTTTTAAGAAAAAATACATTAGTGTTTCTTACTCATTCATAGTATTTGGTATGCTTTTGGTATGTTTTCAAAAAATAGCTTTAGAAAGCAATGGCATGATATGATCATAGATAAAACTAATTTAACTTTGGAAAAAATGTTTATTGCTATGCATTTGCATTTATACCTATAGCATAAGACTAATAATCTATTATTCACAAGCAAACTTCTGATAACTAGTGTGCTCACACAGCAAAACAAACTAAAACAGAATTACCAGGGAAAGTAAGTTTAAAAATGGAAGTGAAATATTTCAGAAAATGATAAGATTAAAAGAAATAATGTTCATCTTTCTATATGAAGCTTTGCAGTAGTCTTCTGAAGGATGTCACAGCATTGGCATGTAAACCTGAACGTCTGAAAGACACCAGGAGCCTTGTCATTACTTTGTCTATATAAATAATTATATCATGTAATATTTACAATTAGATCTCATTTTCATGGAAGAGATTTATCCTATAGGCAGCAGTCTAGCTTCTAAACAGAATCCTCAACACAAAAGTTTCTTTTTGACTATAAACTGAGAATTGCTTATGTGCCTTAAGTGAAAGTCAGTAATGGGATAGTCAGGATGTTGAGCAGCTTGCAGGGTTTGGTGAGAAGATCCAAATTCTGAAGAATTCTGGCAACAGTGGTGCAGATACTGCCTGTATCGTTATTTTCCAAATTGCCCGGCATTTAACTCTCACTGGAATTCTGTATGCCCACCTGCACAAGTGATTGCCTAAATACCTTTACAAATCCAATGAGGAGTCAGGATTCCAGGGAACAATCCTATAATACAAACGTACACGCGTTAAGTGTCTACTTAAAGGATATACAGGCACATAGTACTTATAAGGCATCTATATATATACACACATGCATAGTAAGTATACGCTTCAGTAGTTGGGTTGAGATGCAGTTTCACCGTATGGTGAGCTGAATTAGCATCTCACTCCCAAAGAAAGGAAGAGGGGGGCCCTGCTTCCTCCCTTCTACTTACTGCTTAGTGCTTTTGCCTCTTCCTTTGCACTGGATTTGGTGTTGACTGGACTTGTGTGTTCACCAGTTAAACTCACTAGCATGACAGAAAAATAACCAAACAAATAGAAGTGGACGGTTTTCTCTCAGCCTGGGTTCCCTGAGGTGGCTGATAAGCATCACAGTGAGTGAAAGTTAGGTGAAAGGGAGTAGGAAAAGAAAGGCAGACTGAGTTTCCCTTTTGAATGGAGAGATCATGTTGGCTTGGCTATGCTGCTTGCACCATCGGTTTGATTGAAATTTTATGATACTTATCTAGGACTACAGTTTTATTTTTCATCTTAATTCATGTTCTAGTAGTCCTTCCAAAAGATCTTAACTTTGACAGAAACAGATATATTCATGCATTGGTTTATGGTAGAAAACCAGAGCTTCTTGGAATTAATGTTGTGGATTCTGTTTATTGTTATTACAAAACAATAATTAACACACAGAATACAATATGTATTTCTTAATCTGCATCCTGGGAATTCATACTCACAACTTCAGTTATCACTGATAGAGGGACTCAAAAATCTCCCCAGTGAAAATCTGCCCTGTGAAGATAAACAATTGAAAAAAGTCTACTTACACATACCTTCTTGTTCTTATCTTTACAGGTGACCCAGCTGGATCCAAATAAGTCATTACTGGAGGTAAAACTGTATCCTCAAGAAACCCTTTTCCTAGAGGCAAAAGAATAGATCAAACAAGATTGTAGGACTAATCATCCTTTGACAAGCCAGAGGCACAGCATCGAAAGGAAGACTTCTATCAACACCACCTTGTACTATCATCCAGCTCAATTCAGTGTCACAACTTTGCCTCTTGCAAGAATCCTGCAAAATTGAAAAAACATAGCTACTTAGTTTCACATACATGAGTATATGTTTCCAACCTCATTTAAATGAGCAGAGGATAAAATTCTGCTATGAACACTGAACATTTATGACTCTGTTGCTCACTTATCATCCAGCTTTTGTTATAATTAATGCACTGTTAAAATGTGAGTGATTGTTAAGTAGAATTTTTACTCCTCAAATGCCCCTTTTCCACCAAGAAATCTTGGACATTTCTGCCTGTACTTTTGACACTAGAATGCTGTATATTTGATATCTCGCTGAGCCAGTGCTCTCATATATATGCATTTTATTTCTGTGTTTGAATTTCTACTTTGTCAACTAATTTAAAAAGGCAGAAAAAATTAACGGGACATTCTCAGCCATGGAAATTTAACAGTATTATAGTAGAAAGCATATAATTTTTGTTAGTACTTTCTGACTTCTTTGATAAGATGTAAGGTTTTGTTTGAAGAATATAGTTTGACATATATGCGAGATATTTATTTACTGGTTCTGCTTTGGGTCTCAGTTCTGATTCAGTTTAGGAAGTATTTTCCATTACATTGCAGTGTGTGAAACTGCTTATTGCATGATGTGAATATTTAAATAACATTAGAAATGGCCAGTACCAGAAACCTGGTATCTTGCCAACACTTCAGGAATCAGCTGATATTGAATATCAGCTGTTAAAAACCTTTCAAATACCAGATACAAAAGTTCTTTATTTCTCATTGTGAAAGAAAGGGCAGTTCCCGTTTTAGCAGTTTTCCTTCATTCTGGCACTTGTTTGTATCCTGTTACTCTACTGTTTTAAAGCACCTTGTTTGTTTCATCAAACAATGCGTATCTTAAGAGGTGGTGTAATAAGAAATCTGCCTTATTATTGCACACTTTGGACATTTTAACAATAGATTACCGATCCTGTCTCAAATTAAAGAAATCCTAGTTCTCTTGTCTGAAATGTATGCACCAGCTACCTGCTATCTGATGTGGAAGAATCTGGTACTTTAAATTTCTCAACCACAGAATGAGCATACTGAGTCTAAGACCATAACATACACTTCATGCCAAACCTGGATCTAAAACTGGTTTGGTTAATTTTTTTTTTGCTTTTTTTTTTTTTTTTTTTTTTTTTTTTAATCTCTGGGCTTACAGGATAGTGCACAATAGCACTACAGAATCGTCATCTGCTAATCAAACTTTTTTTTTTTAAAGCCTGGCACATTGTTTTCCACATATGTTTATATGCAATTCATAGTGTTTATTGTAGCAAAATGAGTTCTGATTTAAAAATTTTATACTAAGCAAAAACCAACTGCACACATCTTTTAGTCTTTCTTTTTTCTTAGGAAGGATGGTGATATAAAATTAAATGTATGCCTATCATTAGGGTGTTAGTGAAGCTGATATATTGTTACCTTTACCAAAAACGCAAATTTCTGAGCGGGGAAAGCCTTATTCTACCTTTTGTAATTCTGTAATTAGTGAGTGCTACATCAGACACTTTTAGAAGTGAAGTATCTATGACAAACAAAAGGTTTGCAAGTGTAAGCAAATTCTAATCATTTGCAGTTCACAAATAAAAGCATTCATAGCCAATAGAAAGATAAATGTATGTGTAATGGAAAGCTGAATGCAGACACTTCATTCTGAACTTTTGTTTTCTTACAGAAAAAAAATCCACTATGTTTAAGAAATTAACATAGGTTGCAAATTGGGGTGATGCTGTTTCTACAAACAATCACAGTAACACATACAGCAAGATTTTAAAGTGATGCATATCTTTTTTTTTTCAGATTAGCTCTTCCTTCTAAGCTGGCTATTGAGGAAAGGAATTGCTGAAATACTGCTACACAAAGCAAAGCGACCTTTCAGCTAACTTGTTTATATTAATCTGTTCTGTTTAACTTTTGTTTGATCTCATCAGGCTGTTTTCTTTCATTCAACTTTATTTCTGTATTTTGACTATATATTCTTTACTTTGATACTAGTTTCATAAAGTTATTAAATGTGGCTTGAATATTTGTTGAATTTGTTGAAGTCAGTGCTCCCAGGGTTTGTTTGGCCTTTTTTTTTTTTCCTAACCTCCTTTATTATTTTTTCCCTCCCTTTGCTCATATTGCAAAATACACTGTCATTACCAAAATGTTCTGGTGATAATTAACTGGAAGTGTTCAAAGTGGTGGCATTACTGCCCTCTGATATGAAGATATCAAGATCAGTACACAGGGATCATTCTGCCACAGCGTAAACAAGTGTATCACTCTTTAAATAAAACATTTATGGTTTTGGTCCTTAAATACTTTGGGCCTGATTTCAAGAAGCAACCATCTAGAGTCACCTTTCTGAATTACACCCTCAATGCAAACCAGTCCCTGTGTAGAAACATTAATATTCTATGCCATCATTTTCTGCTCTCCTAAACCATGGTATTCACTTCATATGCTCTGCTGGCATGGTTAATCCTCTAGTCAGTCTACAGACTAATTTTGTAATTCAGTATTACCCTAAAACTGTAACACTGTTGCTACAGAGCATATACCTGATTCTACCTTTTATCTTCAGGTTCTTCGCGTTAATGGCTTATCATTAACGTGATTTATGCATTAGTTTTAAGTCTTAAGGAATTACTGTTAATTAATGGAATCCTGTACGATGTGTCGGCTTTCATTATTGGCCTTCAGAGCATTACGGTGAAGGTGGGGCATGCTCTGGCTTTTGAAGAAACTTGCCGCCTATTGACATTGGTGTTTGAAATCATTATTAGAGAATATGCAGAACACAAGTGTTTGCTCTGCATTGTCTGCATACGCACCCTTAAATTTAGTGAAAGTGCTGAGGGCGTTTCTAATGGAGCTACGCTGGGGGTTTTGTTTATTCTTTTTAATGTGGTGGAAAAGGACTTTGGCTTTCATAAACTGTACCTACTCAGTGACATTAGAAACTTAAAATAAATTTTCAATTACAGTAATATTTCTACTAAAAGGTTATATGATTTCACTCTTCCATATGTGGGGAAAACCAAAATTGCCATGACCCAGATTCACAGAAGGACAGAAGCACGTCATTATCCAAGCCTCACATCCAGACTCCCTAAACAATGCACAGGAAGATTTAGGTGCCTTAAAATGGGGTCCGCAACAAGCAAAAAATACACAAGTAGGTCTCCAAACAAAGCAAAGCAAAAACCCCACATGTGAAGAGTCACTACCAGGCAGACCAGAAACTGCTCAGAGCGGTGGCTGAAGATGGAGGTATCTCGTGTACGCCGTTCCTCACCGGAGCTAACGCTTCCTACTCTCTGCTGGCCCAGGGCAGCTCCCTCCACTCAGGCTTCACAGCACTGAGACCGTACGTCAAGGTAAGCACCAAGTCCTTTCTTCCAACATCTGACGAAGCACAGAATAGATTTTTATTTCGAAACGGTGATGGTGGCCTTCTCCTGAGTCTCCCCTACAGTTTTCACTGAATTTTACTTTACACTGAAGTTTTCCCATATTGTGAGTCTATGGGCCTGAGGAGAAACAAGCCCCTATGTCAGACATTTCAGAAGACTACTTCAACACCATCATAGTACAGGCTACTTTTAATGTGCATGCTCTGTCTGCTGTCAAAGCTGTTTGCCAAAATACAGAACTCTTTAAGCTCATTGAGAGAGAAGGTGCAAGCAGGAGCACCAGTCTTCAGGCTAGCAGATGGGTGCTTGCCTGGGATGAGCTATCCAGCCCTTTCCAGTGACTGTTAGTTGCAGTCGCTGGTCTTTTCAGACAGATGACCTAGGAGGAGAGACTGAATGTTGATTCTGCACTCTACTTAGATTTTCTTATTCTACTTGTATAAAAGAAAAGGCAACGACAGTAGTCTTAATTATATTTTTTTTCTGTACAGGTCATGAAAGAAAGCAAAAATTACTATATATTGTACACAGCGTAAACCATTGTTCACTACCTGAAACCATTTAATCACAGATGACAGAGATGGAGGAATACCAAATTTAGCACTAAACACCTCAGGATCCAGGCAGTTTTATACTCAACTTAATCAGGTATAAATCTGCACTGCTGCCAGAAGAGCCACCTCTGCCCCCATCTTGCACTGGGATCAGGCAAACTAATCCAGTTAAAAACTAACCATTTTTTTCCTGGAGTAGTTTTCAGACTGATCCAGCTTGCTGAGTGGCCGTATGTACACCAGCACTGACAAAAAGCAGAAGGTGGAGCATGCAGGGGGTGAGCAACTGATGATGAGAGGGAGAGGAAGGCAGGGCTGCTCCCTCTGGCAGCAGTGCTGATTCATGTGGGATTGTATCAATCGTGGTCCTCGAAATATTTTTTGAATGCATTGTTATTACATTTACATTTTACATTCATTTTTTAATTTCAAGCAAATTAAACAAATGGTACAAAGGTTTTGCTGTCTGAAGCATCCATAAGTTTTGCGGAAGTCGGTAGCCCAGAATTCAAGAAATAGGAATCCAGACAGAAGATACCTTGAGTGTGTGCAGTGAGGGCAAGGCTCACTCTAGATCTAACTCTTACCAGTCGCTACAAACCTGAGAGAGCAGCCCGAGTACCCTACCTGCAGGAAAAAAGTTTCAACGGGATTTAATGTCTCATTGCATACCAGAGAATTCGCTCCTTCATCAGGGCTTTTCTCTGTGGATTCTTTTATGTGTAATAAAGACTGAAGTCACACTGCAGCCTTAATATAATTAAATTAAAATGTCACTCAACTGCTGGTTATAGAAGTAGGCTTCATTAGTTCCTGTGCTTGCAAAACTACTGGTTAACATGATCATTATTTTGTACTTACTACCAATGAGTTTCATTTACTATTTTTCTAACTCCATGTTACGACAGTCTTCCACAGTTCATTCCTATTCACTTTCAATCCAGTCATCTTGAATGGGTTTGTGTCATTCATTAATATCATCACCTCACTACTGATTTCCAGATAATGTACAAGTACCTTGAATAACACAGGTTCCCACACAGATCCTTGGGGGACATAGCTGGTATCCTTTCTCACTGTGAAAACTGTTGCTTACTGCTTCCAGCTATCAGTCTCTGAGTAATACTCCCTTTTTTTTCTCAAGAACAGATGTTTCCACTGTAGTAAACATCAGTGCAAATGACTAGCTTAGTTTACCTGCAGTTGCCCTACTTTCATTACGTACTCCTTTTATACCTTGAAAATATATTAGTCCAATTATCTTTCTGGGAGGCTTCCTGTTTCTGATATTTTTAATGATCTTTTACACCTTTGGTAATTGTTCCTCAAGGTCTGTCAGTTGTTTAGTTCTGGTTTTGTGTCTTCCAAAAGTTAACTTTCCACAGTCATATGTTCTTTCGGTTCTCCTCGTTTGAGTCTCTTTCAATTGCACCCTTTAATGTGCTGGCTCACATGGCTCAGCTACTTCTGGTGGGCCTTCTGGAGTCTTTTTAAGTAAGATGTGTACTCTGAAGGTCTAAGACAGTGTCTTCAAATAGTTTTGATTACAGTCTTAGTCTTTAACCTGTGACTTAATTTCTCTTTGTTATCTTCCTCTTTATGCAGTTTTCTTCTTAAAGGTAAATGCTACTCTGGTGATTTTTTTTTTTTTTTTTTTTAGTAAAACAGTGAATATAAGTATGTTTTCACTTACCTCAAAATATGTTTTCTATCATTTTATGTGCCTCTATGCTTTATTTAACCTATTGTGACAGTCCCCATTAGCATGAGTTACTATAATGCATAGGTATTTTATACTATGGAACTACAGCATCCTATTCATGATCTTGCCTTTTCTAAATTTACTGATATGCCTACTTTGTTGTCATTTGAAACCTCCCATTCTGTTTCAGCCATTTTAGCAGTTTAAAAATTATTTTAATGTGTATGTAGAAACGTTTTTCATTTTTTCTAGGTCTATTTGCCTGTTTTATATGCCCTGATTAATTAGGACTTCCGTTGTGTGAATAAAAGCAACCATGTCCAAAATGTGGTGGCAACTGAGAAGGATTTTTTTGAATGACAATTATAAACCCACATCTACAGAGGAACTTAATAAATTATGTTGTGGATCTGATTTAAAAAATCTAAGGTGTTCTAAGGAGAACACTCTGTTGCTGAAAAATACTTCCACTTTTTCAAGGTTTAGACGAAGGTGAATAAGACATTGTGTGACTGTTGCTGTATCCTGTAACACAGGAAAAAAAAAAAAAAAAAGAACCGAGGCTTTCAAGATTACAATTCCTTGTGAAGTTTGGTATAAAAGTTAAAATGGATTGAACAATCTCCCTAGTCATACGAAAAGTGGTTTTATGCACATGTATTAAAAGCATTGAAGTACTCTCAACTGGGAAGTCTTAGTAGATATAAAGCAATCCTTTCATTTTATGAGCAATTTGAAGGCAAATGTGCAGTTTACTCCTTTGACGATTATATTTTGGCAGCTACGGCATTCTTTCATCATTCCCTGTATTTTAGATGTTTTCAAGTGTATTTTGTCCTTCAGATAATGCTTACTATCATATTTGGCGCCTTGTCATCACGCAATCACTATGCATGAGCAGTATTTCTTATCAATCAAAAAATGCCAGATTCAAGAGAATACACATTCTAACCAGGTAACCCCTCGAGAATTAATTTTGCTTTACAAACACCCTCCTAGTTTTATTAGCATTTATCCAGCTGCCATCATAGTCTTACTTCTGGAATCAAACCAGTTCCTTGTGAAATTATCATAGTTTTCCCAAAATGAATCAAAGTGGTGATCCGATAACTACTTTTTATTGAAACAAAAATGCTGCCAATAGCAGAAATAATTAAGCAACAAAAAGTTAGATTAACACCACTGGATTCCATAATCTAGTGGCTGCCTGATGCCTGCTTTAAGATTCACTGCGGTCAAAACAAAAATTCTGCAAGATGTACTCAGCTACTACAGTTCTTAAGAAACGGCACAGCAAAACCGATCGCACCACACACAAATCATGCTCTCTATGCTGAAAGAGGCAATAGTATTAAGAGTCACCATTTATACCATCCTGTAGTAAAATAATTTCCCATAAGCAGACTGAATCCTTAGGAGACCAATTAAACTAACTTTATGGCAGTTATGCACTACTGGGTTGGTGAAAAGAGGCTGGTCACAGCAGGATAAGGATCAAGCTCATAAATGAAGAGCAGCCAAAGCAGAGTAATAGGAAAGAAGCACAAGGGAAATTTTACTGTCAAAAAAGCTGCTAAAGTGTTGTTACGGAAATATTAACTTAGCCTTGATCTTTGATTTAAAATTCCAGCTTCTAATGGATTCTTTCTTCCAAGAAACAGTATTACCATTAATTTTAAAACTTTATAAAAACTAAGATTTTTTTTTTTTAGTATTACTTGCTTATGAGAATCCTATAGCAAGGAATTTATCTTCCAAGAGAAAGTGGAATTGGTTGCCCTCAAAGTGTAATGTGGAT